CTTCATCAAGAGCCATCTATAGAGATGGAATTCCATGCGCTTGGCGGGCAACGAAAAAACCATGAAAATGCCACGCCGGCTTCCAGGGTGTAGGCAAAAACAACTATACAGAACTCGAGCCTTTCAACTCTTGGGTGCCAGAAAAGGCTGGACCCATTGAGTTCGTAGGGTGCTCAGGTAAACACAGTGTCACAGAGTTCCAGGGAAGGCACCGTTCTTTAGGGACAAGCTGGCGTTAGTCAACCCCTGGTTGGTTAATACGGGGTGTGCCAGTTGAGAGGGCACCCGGATCACTTTTGGAGGAAGCAACTTCTCAGAAGTCCACAAGCTGACTACTCCGTTGACACTAGACTCCTTGAGCACCAGGTATAGACAAATGCAAGCTTCAGGTTAATCTGGCAAACCAGCGGTTGGAGGAATCCGCAAACAACCGATCAATTCCACACTATAGCAGTTTCAGACTCATTTCACGTGCTTGCAGTTTTGCCGTTTTGGATTTCCATTATTTTCCCTTTTAACAGACAGCAAGTTAACTTTGCGCAGGGGGTATAAGTTTAATTAAATCGGACACAGCCTTAGGACAGTTAGACTCCTTGACAACCATACAAGTATGTGCCGAACTTGGGACCCAAACATGGTGATTCACCTTTTGATTTCCATTTGCAGTAAATCAACGTGAAAATTTGTGCTCTTAGAAAGCACAGCCCACTTCTGGATTTCGACCCGAGGTGAACGGCTACGTGATCTTCAACCCCTTCCCGCTTCCCCTCAACATGGGCGATACCTTTTTTGCCCGGCACTCAGAGAGACTGGGACTGGGGCATGACCCCAAAAGCGTGTCGCGTGCTATCTTAAAACCTCCCTCACATGTCTGAGCCAATGTGTCCAACACCAAAGAACAGCTCATGCGAGCCGCATCTTTTCGCGGGGGTTCTACCTGAGGCCTTTACCCGAGAAACCATCTAGAACAGGGCTCCCTGTATTTCCAACCAAACGTCGCCCATTGCAATGGAAGTTCATCTATTGGCAACCGAAATGTGTTTAAAGTCCCCCAACTGGGGTATGCAGGGACCGGGTACGCAGGGACCTGAAGCACACGGGCTGGTCAACCGCTGCTCGTTGTTGTAGGGGCTGTGTCCAGAGGGACAGGGGTCAAAAGCCGCGACAAGAGTGCCACCAGCCGTTTGGTGATTTCCTTTTTGAGGCCGTTAAGGGGCAGAATTCTGAAGTCGCCTGGGGTCTCCTCTCAAACAGCTTTTTGGATTTCGAGCTAGACCATGTTGTTTTCCGTGTGCCGAGATGTGGGCCGAGTTGCAGGTCCAAGTGATTGCTGCGTGCCGTGTTTGGTTCTGGTCTCTTTGAGTTTTGACGCGTAAGCCTTTCACTCTTGGACTCGGCTATTTTAGGGATGCAGATTGATCATTTATCTTTTTTGGGATCAAACAACTCTTGGATGCCACTATGGTTTGGTCGGAAGAAATGTGTGCACCCTAGCGCCAGGTGGGCTCCAATCAAAGTGCCATCCTGGGCAACGGCATGACGCTGGCCGCTTGGCCAAGCAGAGAAGCCGAAACTTCAGCTTTGTGGGGCGATTCAACGTTTTGTTTCAGCATGTGACCAAAAGCTCGCTTGTAAAAAAAAACTGCCCTCCTCAAGGGTGACCACATGTGGTTGTTCAAATAATGTTTGCCCCTCCCCTGGTAACTTCTCCATTATTTTCAAGGATCCTTCTTTTCGGAACGTCCGCCAATTTCAAGGGGACCAGTTTTGGTGTGGAATCAACCCGTGGAGTTGTGGCAATGAGTTGGTTTCCAGGTTCCAAAGACGAGACTCCCCAAACCCTACACACTGAATCCTAAACCAGGAACCCTCTCTGGTCTTGTGTGCTTTGCCGGATGCCTTTTATGCACGCCGCTTCCCTTCTTCAGTTTTGGAAAGGGGGATCCCCTTCAAAATAGCGCCCTTTTTCCCTCGGCCACTGCGGTCTGGGTTCCAGAAGGGTTATATTCTGTTGCCGGGATGACAATCTTGGTAGAACTCAAAGTCGCTGTGTTCGGGCAGCCCCCCCAGACTGTTTGTCCAATTCAGGTTGGTGCGCGTTTTTTTTGTTTTTTCGTGCAGATGGTTTAGGACTCGTTTTCTACGTCTGAAATGATTTGGATTCCTTTTGGTACTCACTGGATGTACCAGGACCGAGCGAGGCTCAATGGTTTCCAGGTTTTTTTTTCCATTGGCCGAAGCTCCTGGCCGAAGCTCAAGCCTGCTTCGATGAAGCCTTCTCTCACACCCTTCAAAGGATCGCCAAACTGCCCCAAATGCCCCCAAATGCACCTCCTTGAGGAAGACTACAAATCAAGTAGCGCAAAACTCCCCCCCTTTTTTATGGTAGAGGGGGTTGGTAGTAGGAACATATTTTATGATAGTGGTTTTGCAAATTAGATCTCCTCTGGCTTTTGCACCATGAAGCTGCAGCCAAGCCCTTTCACGTGCATCTGATCAGCTACCCCCTTGAAGCTTAGCTACGAGCATGTCCTTTAGGCCAGTTTGGTTCATGGATGGTACTGGATTCAGTTTGGTTCTAATTATTTGCGGCGTTTTTTTTGCTTTTTTTAATGGACCCGTTTCAGGATGCTTGAAAGGGGCGCCACAAGAAAAAACACAATGTTTGTGGCCCCGAAGCACATCAGCCTGGCGCCCTGCTGTCATGCTTTTGCTATGAAGCTCACAATCAACACCCAGGTAGGTGAGCTTGGTAAGGGACAGTCCCGGCCAAAAGTTGGTGCGGGCGCCCTCTTGATTCTTTACTTGAGTGGGTAGACCCCTTAGGACCCGGTTTTGATTGTCATTCAAGGCAAGTTCGGGTAGGGGAATTGCACTTTGTCCCTTTGAGCCTCCCCTGAGACTCAGGTGGAACACCCAAAACACCCATTTGCAGAGATTCGAATCGAAAATGCAGGGGAAAGATCAAGGATCTCCCTAAGAGTCTTGGGTCTGTCTATGTCGTTGAGCTTGGGATCGGTGTGCCAATCTTGAAAATCAATAAGAATCTTCGAGGCGCTGCTCATGTTGCTTTGGTGTTTGCCTATTTCATTTGAGAGGAGTACCTTTGTGGGGCTTCCCTTTAAACCAACCTGAAAAGGGGTATCCTCAAAACGCACATTTCATCGCCAGTGCAAGCAAATAACCAACAAAAAAAAACGGTTCACGTAGCCGAAGGCTAGTAGCGACCAGTCCCAACAGAGGCAACACGTTGCTATGTGCTTTGTGTGGACTTAATCGTAGCGGGTCTTGTCGGCTTTTGACATGGCTGTTTGGTGAATTGGGATTGAGTGATCGTAAGCATCACCTTTTGCCTTAAGGGCCCCTTGGTAGCTTGTGAAGATGCAAATCCCGTTTGACCTGAAGTATTTCAGAAGGTAGTATATCAGAAGGTGCACAGGGACCTGGTTGGTTGCCATGTCAAATTTCGTTCTCTTTAAACCAGGAAAAAAAAGAGATGAACAAAACACAAAAAACTATTCAGTTTTGGTGCGTCGGATCCACCTGGCCGAGAAGCCGCAGCCCCTTCGACTTTCCATGTAAGGGTGGAGGAATAATTCATATTCTTGGGTTGGCTACAAAGAAAACATAATCTAGATCTTGGTTTTGCGGTGCATCCCAGATTTCAGGAGCCCCGTGAAATTCACGCACGACCCAGGCCGAAGATTTGAACACGCTGCGCCAGGCAAGAGCGACGCGATCGGAATTGAGGGGTTCATGGGAACCGCCAATTCTTAGCCACTAAAAGGTATACGTATACACCCCATCTTCCCTTGAGTAGTGGAAATCCTCTTAAGCCCAAAGCGGAACGACATACGAAGTCTCTGCTCATTTTCGGGTCCAAACGCTTCAAATGAAGGGTGGGTTCAGCCTCGCCTCAACTTTAGGACTCCCGCTGCCTTGACTCGGTGAGTCCGCCCATGGACACCGGGATTGATCTTATGATTCTAGGGCTTGATCTCCCATTCTGTTCAACCACCCTTCTTTTCACAACCTATTTGTCTCTGGGCGTCCGGCGGTTTTGTCTGGAAAGGATCCCTGGTTTGAGAGGGGGCACCTTTATAAAAGTCTAGGAATCTCTAAGGTTTGACTTATGTGAATATGGTCAATCTGGGGTGCGCCAAATGACCCCTTTCAAGGGCACCTTAAGCACATCTTCTGATGCGGGGCGCGGGTAGCAGATGGTCATAGAAAAAGTAGGCTCTTAGTGCCAGGCGAGAAATATCAAGGCAATCCTCTTCGAAGTGAAAAGTTCTGACTCGCATCCATGTGATAAGACTCATGGCCTGGCAGCGCTACAGGATTCGCCATGTGTCAGGAGTTTATTTTTGGGGGGCGTTTGCCTGTCGAGCATTCCGCCGTCCGGCTCGCAGCGGGCAGTGTGCTGGATTTTCAGCACAGTGACCCTGGGGAAAAAAGGCAACCCTTTTTGGGGAAGACCATTTTTAGTGGGGTAGCCACCAAAAAAAAAGGGAAAAAGGGTGCCACTGAACAACTGAGGCTCTCTACGCAAATCACTCTCGCTTCGAGGCTGATTGAAGATCGAGGGAGGTCACAGCTAGGAGGCAAATCAATTCAGGGCGACCGATGGACCCATGGAGACGCCAAACGTTGCTTGTTGCTCACTGTGCACTTGGTTTGGGGATAAAAGAAGATTAAAATCAGGGGCCCTTTTTGATATGCCTTTTAAAAGGCGGCTTCTGCGGCGACACCGAAACGGGTCCAAAGAGCCACAGGGGTCCTATGAAGAGCCCCGGCCCCCCAGTCACAAGTAATCCCGTTTTTGAGGGCAAAGGCCATAGATTGGGTCAACAATTGGTGGCATTGGGCATGTAAGTGAACACTGGGGCCTCCTCCAAACTTGGTTCATACTCAGTTTAGACTAAATGCGGGCCAACATCTGAACATGTTTGAAACATTCGCATGTGGCTCCAGAATCTGAGATTTTCATTCTTGGCGTCACCTTATCATTTTGGTGTGGAGCTCCAAAGCTTCGGCCTCCGATTCGATGTGGGCCTTGGAGTCCTATGGGGGTCTGGCGGTGTCGGTGCTGGTGCTGGTGGCAGTAGAGCTGGCCTGCAGATCGGGGCAGGCGCTCAGCAGGGGTGAAGGGGCCATCACTTTGATTCGGATGACTTCATCATGGGAACCCAGAAACCCTCTTGTAGCTTCGATGGACATATCTGAAAGTTTACTTTGAAATCATGCTCCTGAGGAAGGTCCTTCACTTGGGGATTCCTTCTCTCCAATTTGGTGCTGACAATAATCTGCAACTTGCCCAAATTATTGGCTTTGTTTTTGAACCGACCGCTCAGTGAGCAAATGATAGGGGTCCGAGCCATCCAGGCCTTTGAAGTCAACGGAATGACCAGAAGGAAACCAACCTTAGTCAACAGCTATGTTGCCTATCCTGGTTTGAGGGGCGCGTTCAGTGCCGGGCAGGTGAGACGGTTTGCTTCTTGGGCGCAACATCCGAGAGTACGAATTAGATTGCAGTACAGAGTTTAGTTGATTGTAAGAGTAAGACATTGCTAACTAGTAGTATAAACAATAAAACTATATTGCTGTGGGTCAAAACCAATGGTACCATTTTGGGGTAGGTGCACCACCCATTTTAGTCTATTTTAGTGGGGATTAGGACTGAGGGTACAAGATTTGGTTTTTGACCCATGGCCAAGCAAAAATGCAAAGCAGACTTGGACCCCACCGGCAGGTCCGCTTAAGAGGAACATGTAGTCCTGGCTTTGGGAGAGGGAGATCTCACGTCCGCTGGGCTGGCTGCGCTGCTCTTGGTATGCTCAAAAAGAATAGTTTGTGTTTTGTTGAATCTGCTCATTTTTTTGAAGCAAGGGTCTGCAAAGGACACAGTTCTTACTAGCACACCCAGATTTGGGGGTACATCAAAATCACAAGGGTGGGAGATTTGTGTGGTTTCCTTTGGCCTTTTTGGGGCCGAATCCAAGTTTGTGTCACACCAACCCAGGCTCCGATGTTGTGGGCGGGGGGGGACCATGCCATGCCCAGTTTTGTTCAGCTACACGCCAACCGAAAGCCATCTAAGTGGTTTTAAGCGATCACAGCTATAGTTGTTTTATGAAAGCAAAGCTCACCCAGGCAAAACGAGCACACTATGAAGGTCCTGGGGATCCCGCAGAGTTTGCCACCATTTGAGGTGCAGCTGGCGGCTGCCGCAGCAGCCATCCCCACCGGCCTGCCGCTGGTGCTATGACAAACTTTGATCCCAACCCCTGCCCCCTTTCGCCAAGATGCAGACTTGTTGAGGGCGTGGCAGGGTGTTCAGGCGGTATTTGTTTTTTTGGATGGTGCCGGGGTTAGAGAACTCTAGTTTCCCAGTTTTGGATCCTCAGAACCACAAGAGATGGTGTATACGAGTCCAACTGTAGCCCCCCGCCGGGGAATCCTTGGCTTTCTTTGGGGGTCGCTTCAGAAACCATGGGGGACGGGGCCTCTTCGCGGATTTCCGTCCGGCGCCTGGAACTTCATCTCAGGCGTTGATTATCGTGGCCTCGAAAGCGCAGCAGCAGGAGGCGGGAGGCGGTCTAGCTCCCAGGGAATGAGTTGGAACCCGAGTCGAAGCATCCCACTGGTGGCTTGCTTTTGGGAACCAGATTCATGCCCAAAACCCTGGATGAGTCCGTACTCAGCTCCGGCAAGCCACCCAAATCTACCAACTGCCCTCCGTTTTGTTCAGGACCCCAAATCTACGGTGGAGGCGCCGCTAGATATTGCAAGTAAACCCACTACACGGACAAACACACAAATCCATGGCAAATGACAGTCAACTTGGGAATTGGTATCCTTGTTCTTCCCTTATACTTGCAGCATGGCAGGAAGATAAAAGATCCCACATGACGATTCAGTCTTTGTGACCGAATCGGAGACCTGTTGAGTTTACACGTGGCCTAACCTCGGACTGGGGAGCTTCACTTGCCGGATCGGTTTTGACCCCTTCGGGCCCCGCAGAGACCTTTTGGAAACATGCTTTCCCATGAACCTAAGGTCTTGATTGCTATTGGGCTGGATCTTTGGACTTTAGCTTGATTGGAAACCACGGCTCTTTTTTTTTTTGGGGGGGGGGGAACCCAGCCAAGAGTCATGGCTGGTGCGGAGGGAGGGGAGGGGGTGCGCCCATCCCTCCCCAGCCCCATTAAGCGCACCTCGCGGGAGCTCAGGAGGCGCTGGTCAGCTTCTCGGAGGCGACGCTGCGCGGGGCGGCAGGCGCGCGGAGTCGCGGGGGTGGGCTGGCTGTGGGCTGGGATGGTTGAAACTACTTAGGGCTTGGTTGATCTATAGTTAATAATGATTAGGTAACAGCTGGAATAACTATAGTTCAACCAAACCATTCCCTGTCCCACTTATAACCCTGGTTGTCTACTTACGTGACGGCCCAACATCCAAGTGGGTATTTGGCATGCCCACCGCTTCAAACATGGTGGACGAGGAGACCCCCTGAAGTTCATAGTTGTTTTTGTTGTTTGTTGTGTAATAACTAAGTAGAAAAATCGAACTGGGAGCCCCCCTCCCAGTTCAAAAGGGAAATTATTTGGCCATGATAGTAAGTGATTAGAAACCTAGGTTATAATTAGCCCACTTAAACGTCCCCCAGTGAAATTAACCCGTTGCAAGTGGGTTACCTAGGTTACTACGCACTTAACTGGGTTGAACACCTGGGTATCTTTGTCACAATGTAGTTTCTAATTTGTTTTCAAGAAATCCATCTCTTCATCATGCTTCCCCCCTTGCCTCGCCACACCGCATTCCGGATGGGTGAAGGAAGGGGTACAGAGATGCTGAGATGCATCATGTCATGTCCCTTCCTTTCTCTTTCTCTTGCCACAGATAAGGGAGAGAGGTCAAGAGAAGGAAGTTAGTGATGATGAGGTGAGTCTCACAGAACAGCAAGGCTTGAATGGGAGAGTCACCTATCATCTCCCCTCCAACTGCTGGCCCTTTTACAATCATGTGGGCGGTTAGGAGATGTACAAAGAGCGAGTATCTAATTAGTTTTCCTAGCAAAGAGATTTCTACCAGACAAACATTGTATCAATCATATTGTATGCGATGTCTATAGGTGAGTCTCCGGTGTTCATGCTTGTCTTATCTCCATGTTCAATTAATTATACCCGATGAGCTAACACATGGACTAGAGAGTACACGGTTAAACCTTGAATCGTCTGCTTCATTCAATTCATATGTGTTTTTCTCATATCTGTGCCTGACTTTTATCATTGCCTTCCAACAAATGCTTGAGAGTTGAATGTAAGATCGTCTCTATTATCTATCTGTCCTTTTCTTGTTTCTCTTATTATCTCTGGGTTTTTGGACGTGAGCGAGGGAAATGAATGGTAAAGAGAGATGGCTTCGTCCATCATCTATCTCTGTCCCTTCCATCCGCTCCTCCACCTTCCATCGCCCAATCAAGGCACGGGTAAGGGATGGCGGATAAAGGTGGAAGGAGCGAGCAAGGAGGTTTCCAAGAGTTCTGCAGAAGGGCCTAGAGCATCCCCAAGGTACAGCATGCGAATGAAAGAAGATAATGAGCACCCGATTCCCTCTCCATCATCAAATCATCACTATCCATCATGAATGAATAATCCTCAATGTGATGATGGAGAAAGGGCATGGCGAGTGCATGAGGATTGACCGTTCGCTCACATCCTGTTCACCTTCATTTGTTCTTTTTTGTTGCCTTGGCATAGACCTCCGGAAAGACAGACAATAGACAGCTCCAAAGTAGATCGAAGCAAGAGAAAAGATGCATACGAGTCTTTCCGTTCCTTTCACTCACACCCACGAACATGACCAAGCCGACCAAGTGCAGACAGAGAAGGAATGTGTTTCCTCTGCTCGCTACCTTCGCTTCCATGAATTCCTGCTATCTCTCCTCTGTATCATTTGGCCGGTATCCTTTTTGTAGAATGGACCCGGCAAACCTTGCTGATGCTCAGTGGAATGAGGGAATGAACCTGGGGATTCCCTTAAAGGAAACCAAAGGGGATGGGAATGTGGTTGAATGCACCCAGGCTTTGGTTCCCTAGGAAACCACAAGGCTACAAGGGATTGGTTTATAGGGGTCATTCCAGCTCACGCCCTGCATCTCCAGTCCACCGATCGCAAGTTTGCGCTCCAGGCACACTGGGCTTTGCAGTGGCCATGCTCCTGGCGGCGCGGCGCGGCTGGGGCGTGCCGGCCATGCGCCTTGGGTTTGACGGTTTGACCCTGGAGCTCCAGGGGGTTTTCAAAATGGAAAAAAAGGGGCGCCCCTTTTTGGGGCACCCTGATCTTGGGACCTCCCAAAGAGGGCGGGCCCCGATCCAACACCTTCCAATGGAGATCCAGGCCCCATATCTTGGGGTGCTGGACACGTTTTCAGGTCTGGGCCCATGGGGCCTGCTCCTGGGAACCCAGAGGAAGCTTCGATTCCATGGTGACCAAGGAATCGTGCACACCCACACCTGGCCTCCCAGACCCCTCCCTTGATTCCATAGGTTAAGTCGAGACCATTCCTGTTGATTTGAAGTGTCCCGAAAGCGCTCAATTTCAACTAACGGTGGGACAACCGGTGTGACCAACATTTCCAGCCCAGTGACCGTGATACGAAAAGGAGCCCCTCTTGGATTGAGCATGGCACTGTAGGCACCATTTTCATTGTTTGTGAGGCTACTGAGCGGCTATAGCGCCTGGTTTGCCACGTGGCTGGCGCTGAGCGCATTGAAAGCGGATGCGGACAAGGCGCATCCGGGCAGCCGGAGGACAAAGCTGCATTTGACCCTTGTTCGGGTCGAAGAGATAAGACATCTGCCAGCTGCTGCACTCTCCTTCTCTATATAGGGTGATGACATAGAGTAATGCTCTGTCCAGAGAGAGACAAGAGGTGAAAGACACTTGCACCAAAATGACGCCTTTGACAGGGATCACAAGGACCACCAAGTGTGATCCTCCAAACAAGGCCACGCAACTCATGGAGCCAGGTGGGCAATAACTAAGCCCGCCCCTCAATTTAGCTCAACAACCTTAGGAGCTCCCGTGCAAGCATCTTCCACGGGAAAAGGGCTGTGACGGACCTCTCCTCGGCTTGTGTCACCATTTTCGGATGGAAAGGTCCTGACGTTTGGTGATGGGAAGTCAACTTGTCGTGAAGAAGGAGCCATATGGAAGACCGGTCAACTTTAGCTTGTGGAGGGCCAGGGATGGCCATGTACCTTTCGCCTTAGCCACGATTTTCCAAACATGCAGCTTTTTATATCGCCAGAATGAGGAAGCTAAGTGAAGCCCACTTCATGATGCAGTGCTTTTGTGGCTCGCAAGAAATCGGCCTATTTTATCACGAGCTCACCTCGGAGTAGAACAGGCTCACTGTGATGTAGGTTCTTTGCTTGGCAACCCCTTATTTCAGCTTTTGGAAGTGTTGAAATGTTTGCAGATGTCATAGTGTAAGGGGAAAAGAGTCATCAGCAGCTCTCGCTGGACCACACTATCTGATTCCTGCGATGGTTGTTCCGATGAAAACCGAATGTGCCCTTCTGATCAAAGTACAAGGAAGCCCCAACGCAATTCCAAGTGGGGCCTTTGGAGTACATCCTCGGAGAGTACCAAAGGATCCTTTGGGCATCCGTCAGGGCGACTAGTCGCAGAGCAAGAGGCCAGGAGCTGTGAATGCATGTTCGGCCGTCTACCCTCGCATGGAATCCACCAGAAGGCCTTGTTCCACGCCATTTCCAGGGGAACTTCACGGTTGGAATGTTCTTTCAGTTGGTTTTGGTTGGTTGGAATGAGGTTTGTGGGAGTCTTCAAAGAGCACAGTTATATGCCACACCAAGCGGTCGGAAAGTTGATATGAGTTGCTCTACTCACTTGCACTTAGAGCGGATCAAATTGAAACGCCCTGTTGGTGTCCTAGTTTAGAAACCAGATTTAGTCAAGGCGAGAAAAGGCCAAACTTCCAGTGGTTCCTGCTCGCTGAGGCTAGATAAAAGCTGTGGTTATCCCTTGGATCTTTCTGCTTCCAGGCTGTCAGGTGGTGCCCATCTCCCGGAAAGGGATGGCGAAGGGTCGATCTCCATTTTGATCACATGTGGGTCTGTCTTTGAGGAACCCCGCAAAGTTCAGTCTCTCTCTCTTTCCCTTTTGGTGGGTAAACCAATCTCCGCGGGATTCCTCGGATTCGTCTGGCGCTCTGAATGAATACGGAGCTAGCGCGTATCCCAGATTTGGGAGCCCCGATGGCAAGGACATGGGCCAAATGGAGACTTCCGCTTGCTTTGTTACATTGCTCCACGCCCTCTTTTCCAGGACCCTTTTTCCAACTTCCAAAGCTCCGCCCGGCAGTTCTGGCAAGACCACCTTGCCGTAATAAAAAATGACTGCCCTACAAGTGCAGGATTCCCGGTCGCCAAACTTCCCGAAGACAAAAGGGTCCGTGAATGAGGGCTGGGCTTCCCAGGCTTGAACCAGGGCGGTCCCGTGTTTTCCGGTTTCCTGTGCAGGTGTTTGCGGAGACGCTGCTCGAGTTCGTGAGACGCAACGAGAGGGTTTCCCCAGACCTGTGCCCCGAAGGTCCCTATGGCCACAGGTCTGGGAAGCAGACGTTGAAGTTCAAGCTCTGGAGCCGCGAATGCTCACTTCAGCGATGAATAGCAGGCGATGCAAAAAGTGGTAGCGTAAGCGAAGTGGAAAAGGAGCGGTCTGACTGCAGATGCGAGGCTTACACTTCTTGTTCGGCGGGTGTGTGGCTTTGTTGGTTTCAATTTGGGAATGCAGCTTGGTTCGTCGCAATGCTGGCACAGAATGCATCAAGGCGGAGTTTGCCCGGGGTGTTCCCCGCCGAAAGTGAAGGATGGCTTTTGCACTGGCCATTCGTCCACCGAGGGTTACCAATTCTGCAGTCAAGCAGAATTTCGTTCCCAGAATTTCAGAAGTTTCTTATCCCAACCGACGGGTTTTATTCCCCACTCGAAGCGTCCTGATGGAATTGGGCGACGGAAAGAAGCACATCCCGAATGAGCAGTTCGGATCCGGATTTTGGAGCAACCCTGCAAATAAAAGGGGACCAACACCCACCTCAACCAACAATACAACCAGCCTAGATAGCAACAATTATGATAGATTTTAATTATTGGTACTCATGATAGTAGAATTACACTCGTAGAACCCCTTCGTTCTGTGGGGTCCGCTGGTGACAGGCTGGCTTGATGTTCCGAGTGCAGCCCACTACCTTGCCGGGACCTTGGAAGACATCGGGAGCAAAAGGACCCATGTTTCTACTTGGCTTCACTGCTCTTGGCATGTTTTGTTATGTTTCTTCCTTCTTGTTTTACACATACACAAGTTGTTGTTGAATTGTTGCTTGTTTGTTTTCACATTTTTGGCATACATGCCAAGGGATTGGAACGCTGCAAAGAATGAACTATTTTGGGGCTCTTCTCCAAACGTGTGTAGACACAATATGACTAAATCTGAACATATTTATATATAATAGACATATATATATATATATATATATTTGTACCCCAGATGTGGGCCAAGTCATGGTTGTTGCAAATAGGTTGAAAGCGACAAAGTAGTCATAGGGACGGGAATCCTGTTGGTAGTGTGGATGGACGAAATCCATTTCGCACCACTTTGAAACCATGGCAAGCCATTGTTTGTTGGTATTTACAGGAGAGTCATCATTCCAGGGTTTCTTAGTTCGAAGTTCGAGCGGGAATTTGTCCATCCATTTTGTATCACTAAAAGGGTACAACCCCCATGAGGCTGCGACTCAATGAAAGTTAGCACAAATCTCTTGCTGGCAAAGGGGAAGATTGCACCAACATGGGAGGAATGTGCCATTTTTTTTTGGCCAAGTGTATGCCCACCACAAAATGCTCGTGTGGAGAAATCGCCAGATAGCATCTTTTACTTTGTTGGGTTATTTAAGGTCGAAATCTCTGGGTGGAATATACACAACTTCCCGAGTAATCGGAATAGTTCAGGACTTCCAGAGTGGTTAGCTTAGGGTCGTACCTGCGCTGTATTCGCCACCCAATTCGCCCATTTTCAACCTTGGCGTGCCCGAAGGGTCTAGGCCCTCAAAGTAAGTTGTTTTGATCCAAGCATGGCCTCGGAATCTTGGGGCTTCCGCCCAAAAATCATAAAGGGACCCTTTAGGGTAATACAACACAACTTCCTTGGATTCCAAGCAATACACAAAACGTCAAGAACCCTGGCCGCCCAGCCACCTGATTGGGCTCTGCGGACCATTTCCTCAAGGGAGTCGATGGGTTCCATGTTGCTTGGTGGTAGATCCTTGGGCCCAAGCCTGTGGAACCTTTGAACCAATCTGGCTATGGCATTTATTGGAACACTCCATTCAAGATTCAGACCCTTGGACAGAAGGGAAGCCACTGGGTGTAACTGGCTCCATTTTCAGCCCAAAAGGGGATCTAAGGGCAATACAACAACTTCCTGAGGAACCATGCTTTGCCAAGCAGGAGATCAATCCGCAAGCTTACCCAGTGCTTCCATCACCAAGATAGGTAGCCAGGGGAAGACAGCAACAGTTGTCCGCCAACCATCCCCTGTCTCACTTGCAACGCTTACAGCTTCCTGACGTAGACCCCCAGGTCACTAAACCAGTCCTATTACTAGTGGGTGTCTCCTCCAAAAGTGATGAATGACCACTAAAAGGGGACAACCAGGGAGTCGATTACTTCGGGGCAGACATTCAGCGGGTTGAGCATCCAAGTTGGCTCCAAGGAGGCTGGTCTTCAGCTCGCTGCGTGACTGGCTTTGCACCTCCACCAAGCTTGGAGAAGATGTGGAGCTCGGGGCCCGGTTGATGAGCCCAGTGGGTCTTGCTGACTTGCCCAAAGCGGATCGACCTTTTGGCCTTTAATCCCATGTTGCTCCATTTTTTAGTCATGTTCCCAAAAGGTTCGCCTTTATTTCCAGGTCCTGCCAACTGAGCTTTGCAAAGTGCTCCGACTGATTCTTTGGGCTGCAAAATGCTTAATGGATGTGAGGCCTAAGCCAGGGTTAACCTTACCCCCCCCCCCTTCAAGGAATCCGTTTGCGTGTTTATCGTTGTGCAATTGTTGTTTCCTTGCTGGTTTCAAAGGGTACACGGTCATGGCTGTTATTTTGACACCGAACACATAGAAGCTAGCACAGCACAGTTCCTCCCCCGCGCGGAAAGACGAGCCCGAAGCCCGGGAGAGGAGGAAATGGCATGCTTTATGCACTGATGATTTTGTTTGGTCAGGCGCAGTTCTTTCTCTGGAGCTGGGACGAAGCTGGAATTCCACCAGTCACTTCAGAAGAGGGATTCCAATGGCCCCCAAACCCTCACCCAGGGAGGATACGAGGCGGATGACATCCCGTCAGAGTCATGGAGTACCTTCTGGGTGGTTGACACTTCTAGGGCCTCTAGGGTTGTCAGTTGAAAGCCTTCATTGGAAACAGGGCCGCCCTCCAAGTCGTAACGCTGTCTTTGAAGTATGCCACTATTGCCAATATGGCAGATATCGGCTCAAGACACCCCCATTTAAGCCAAAGATCCGTCCTTCCAGCCAACCATCAGAAAAGCATTTGAAAGAAAGAGGAGCGCCCGAGGTTGTTTCTGAACGAACAGATCATGGGATTGAACATGAGTCGGGCTCTCAGAGAGTTCAAGTCCGGGCGTCGGCGCCGCCAGTGCATTCGAATGGAAGGGACGGCTTGCCTTTGCTGCTCTTGGCATGTGTGTTGGTCTTCTAGTTGTTTGGTTCTGTTCATTTTGGTGGGTGGCGGCAAAACAACAAAGTGTTTGACTCACATGCCAACAGCTCTGGGAATGTTGTAGGATCACTTTCTGCGATACCAAGAGCCCCCCTTTACAGTCAATAAGTCAAGTAGTCATGAGTCCCCACTTTGATTTCACTGAAGGCTCAATCTAATCACCATAACAAGGGATTTGTATGAAGCTTCATGGTTGGAACACCCCAAGTGGTTGGTGGACATAAACCACCACGTGAATGATGTCCATTAAAGGGCCCCCGAAGAAATTCAGCGCGTCGATGTGTTCGGCTTGTTTCTATTCATGACCATCTAGGAAGCAAGCGGATGTTAGGGCCCCAAAAGAAGTCCGGGCGTGACATGGTTGGCGGATGCCCCCAATATGACAAGTAGAACCACCATTGGTAAAAATGAGTATCAGAGGCTTCCTTGGTTTCCGTACTGGCACTCTTTGGGGCATTCACCGTACGGCTTCGAAACGGGTCCTCCGTCAAACCAAAACATGAGGCAAAATCAGAGAAAAATAAAGGGGGTGAAGGGTCAACGGGGCGAGGCTTCAGGGCAGACGAAGGCAGAAAGCAGCGCAAAAAACCATGAAACAGCAGAAAACAGCCGTTGATTTTAGACAGACAAAAAGCAACAATCATATGGGTTTGTCACTGGGAGCTGGGGTTGCGATGGTTCCTCCTTCCACCCAAAGGATCGTTGTGAGCTCTTAGTTGGGCAGGATTTATTCCTCCTTTTCTGTGTTGTCACAGCCGCTTTGCTTCAGTGTAGAGTCGTTCAAATAAGAGGGGCGTATTTGGAAATTTGTGCGCATTTTTTGAGTGCCCAAAATCCTGGTTTGAGACGCCGATGGTCCAAAACACCCATGCCCAAACAGTGGTCCCAAACAACCATGGTCCCAAACGGTGGTCCCAAACATGGTCCCAGACGGCTGGTCCCCAACACCCATAATCCCAACACAGTGGTCCAAGTTGGTCCCAAACACCCATGGTCCCAAACCCCAAACGCCCATGGTCCAAAACACCTGTGGCCCCAAACGGTGGTCCCAAACACAATCCCAAACAGCCGGTCCAAAACCTCCATGGTCCCAAACTGGTCCCAAACACCCCACACCCATGGTCCCAAACGGTGGTCCCAAACACCCATAGTCCCAAACAGTGGTCCCAGCCAACTGGTCCCCAACACCCGGTCCCAAATCCCAAACACGGTGGTCCCAAACAGCTGGCTGGTCCCGAACACCCATGGTCCCAAACAGCTGGTCCCAGACACCCATGGTCCCAAACGCCCGGCCCCAAACGGTGGGTCCCAAACACCCATAGTCCCAAAAGGTGGTCCCAAACAGTGTTCCCAAAGACGCGCATGGTCCCAAACGGTGGTCAAACACCCATAATCCCAAACGATGGTCCCAAACCATGGTCCCAAACACGCATGGTCCCAAATTGTGGGTCCCAAACACCCTGGTCCCAAACGGTGGTCCCAAACGGTTGGTCCCAAACATGGTCCCAAACGGTGGTCCCAAACATGCATGGTCCCAAACGATGGTCCCAAAGGGTATGGTCCCAAACAGCTGGTCCGGAACACCCATGGTCCCAAACAGCTGGTCCCAGACACCCATGGTCCCAAACGCCCGTTGGGTCCCAAACACCCAGGTCCCAAACGATGGTCCCAAACCATGGTCCCAAACACTCCGAAACACCCATGGTCCGAAACGGTGTGTCCCAAACATGGTCCCAAACGATGGTCCCAAACGGTATGGTCCCAAACAGTGGTCCCAAACACCCATGGTCCCAAACAGGCTGGTCCCACGCAGCAAACACACGTCCCAAGCACACGGACACCCCTGGTCCCAAACAACAGCTGGTCCAATGGCCCACACGATGGTCCCAAACAGCTGGTCC